TAAAATAGCAAGGTCACAAGTCCCCGAAAAGTTGTTCTATTCCAAAGCAAGAAAAAAAAAATCCTTACTTAAAGAAAAAAAGCAAAATTCTTACCTCGATGCCATCAAACTCAAACTTGACAACTGATACACACGTATCTTCAACTGCCTGTAAAGGAGAGGATCACTGTGTAAGAAAGTATTTCTTGCTACTTTAATCTTTTCCCTAAACTGTGATAAAATACAGAATTTACACTGCTAAACTATTTGGTATAAAGACTGACTTGCTTCCAAACCAAAAAAATTGGTAGTAAGCTGCAAGCAGTAGAGCACTAATACTGTACTAATACTGGCTTTAAAAAGCTATTTAGCCAAGAGATTCTGAGGCTGATCATGGATTGAAATGAACAAACAGTGCCAATGAGCCACCAGGATCAGTGGCTGTAAGGTACTTACCCTGGCAGTGAGGAAGAAAAGAGATTTCTCTAGCTATCTTACTGCTGGTTAACATCCAGAGAAATCTAACCAACTCTGTCCACATTTGACAGCGCACACTAGTCTTCTCTATTTTTATTTTCTACCGTGCCTGAGATGCTGTCAGCTACCTTCTGGCACAGTCTTCAGTTTTGCAGAGCACTTGTCAGAACTGTGCCACAGCCCACTGAGAGTCTGTTTTCAGGTGACAGTCACCTAAACAAAGGCTCCGTAGCTATGCACATGAAGTCTTTCAAACCGTCTGCGTGAGGAAGCCCAGGCTGAGAAGCACTTCCCAGGAGCTCAGTTTTACCTGCGAGGTACGCAATGCATGCACCCGAGGGGCATTTTACACAGCAGTTCTGTATGTTCCCAGCACAGCCCCTGTGAACGTTCTGGAAAGCTGACAGTGTGCATCCCGGCCACAAAGGCTCAGGCTGAGGAGCCAGAGAGGAACGTGGCCAGAGGAGGATGAACGAGAGCTCCTAAAGTCTATCCAGAGGAACAGCACGGCCAAGGGACTGACAGGAGCCTTTCCACATCACCGTCAACTTCCTGAGTTTTCAGGCTGCCCCCTCCTCCCCCGGCGTGCATGTCCAGGCCCCTTACTGCACCTGAGATGAAAGCAGGGCTCCCAGGGACAGCCTTGCTTTTTGATACAGCCGACTCATTCTCAAACCAAGGGCAGGGGAGAAGCGGACCACAAAGATTCTTACGTGGTGTACAGCCACTGGGGAAAGGAACCAAAAGCTTGACTTCAGCATTTTCATGCTGCATAAGATAGCATTTTAGAAGGGACTCAGAAACAATGTATTTTAAAGTTTTGTCTTGTAAGACATCCTCTACCAATATAAGTCTTTAACATGAAGCATTCTTACTGTAGAAGTTGCACGATTATCACGGAGAGCGCTTACTCACTGTTAGGTTTTTTATTTCCTCCTGATGTTTCAGTTTTTCAAAGAACAACTGAAAAAAATCCGATCTTTCTACGTGTCTAGCAGCAACACAAACAGCATCTATGTCAGCACCTGCAGAGAGATTCCATTTCTTCTGTTATTGTTGGAAGTCACTTTCAAACATCAGAACTATGACTGGACAAAGAAGTTCTACCTTTAGTGTGTACTCGAAGCTTGTAAGAACCAAATGTAAATATTTTGCCACCAACATTTGCTGCTGCTGCTGAAGGAGGAAGATTCTGTGTGTAGAAGAGAAAGTGTTTACTTTATAATATAAGATACACATTGACCTATGTGCAAGTTTAGGTAGCATACGGGCTCTTTAGAAAGACTACAACAGCCTCCATAAACAGTGTTTTCTCACTCCCAGACTGAGTTGTTAGTCTAATAGACTGCTACTGTTTTTCTGAAATGAGTGCTTGCAACTCAAAAAAAGAGATGAGTAATGTATCAGTCCTTTCATTAATTTACAGAAATTAAGACCTATTATTAGTCTTCCCCACAGCAGATGAACATAAATAAACACAATCTCTGCAAAGGGCAAGTCTAGTGCAATAGTTTCAAACCACACTGGGTGCTGCAGGCTGTTTGGGGCGAGATTAGTGCCCATTTCCCATCTAGCTCACCCCACAATCCCTTGTTTCAGCTTTGTTAGCTGCTACAAGTCAACCCACAGAGCCACTTCACACATTTATTCAGTGCCCCAGGGACTTCAAGATTGTGAACTGTAGTACCTTTTCTACCTTATTTCAACGGCAGTTACTACAGCTCTCCTCAATACTTTAGAAGAAAGTTGAAAGTTCCACTTCAGCATAAATCCTAGTAGTATGGCCTTTAAAAGAAATAAAAAGGCATCAGCTGTTTTGACAAGAGCATATAAAAAACCCTTACCTTGCTCTCACCAAATTCTGAAATCCATTCTTTGACCAAGTTATTCAGTTTACCAAGAACCACCAGCTTGTAAAGGAAACTCATGTTAAGTTTGTCCTGAAAAACTCAAGAGGTTAACAAATTTTACATTCTTGTTTTACTGGTGATTCAGTTCTTCTTCCTCTTCAAATACCTGAAACGGCTTCGTTGCTGCAACTGGCTTCTGAGTATGGATGCAATCTATATCCTTAGGAGGAGCCCAGCTAATGGGAAAAGTAATTCCACCGTGCCTTTCAGGCTGGTTCTGCAGCCTGGAAATAATGAGGGAGAAAATATAATATTGAGGACTTCACAAAAGCAAAAAGAAAAATAAACAAACCAAAACCTCACTGGAAAACACCCTTCAGCTTACAGGTTTCCAAATCAACTTCTGCTCTTTTACCCAGAATTAATATAAATGAGAAAAAAAAAAAGTCCTGCTTATGATTTTTAGATAACTTGACCTAAATTAGAAATCCAATGACTTTTTTAAAAAACATTTGTGGATATAAGAAAATAATCAAGTTGCTACCATCTTAATATAATTTATTGCATTGCTCTAAACATTTATAACCTATCACCAGGAAATTAAAGGGTTTGAAATCCACTAAGGGTGACGCTACACACAGCAGACGCTTAGGACACATTTCTGTTTTGTATCAGTTTTGATTTAAGGATATTCCCATCAGCTTCCTGCTAACATTAAACAAGACAATTTAACATTGGCTTCTTTTAGTTAGGTGTTTTTATGCATGTCTTAAATCTAAAGAAAAGACATCACTGCTGCTTGGTTTCTCCTTCCTTGCCTCCATGGACAGTAACTAAGCCAAGAAAACCAAAATCTATTCTCCCATGCAAAGAAAGACTCTGCACGGCCCAAACACCCATTAGTTTTCATCAGTTTTCAAATTATTCCTTAATTAAATGCACAAAGGGGAAGGTCTGGGACTACTGAATTGCTGAGGTCCATCTTTGAAGCCTGTTGCAGTCATCACAGCGACCAAAAACTGTTCAAACACCAGCCTGATTTCTGCAACTGGAGTTTGAAGAAGAGCACAACCCCAAGCAGCCCGGATGAAGCTGCGGGGCTGCTGACTGGAATTGGCGGAGCAGGAGCCGCCCCGGGCGCGGGGAAGCAGCCCCGACCCCCCCGAGCTGGGATTTTCAGCGCCAACTCCCAGCGCTGCGCAGGCCCCCGCTGCCTCTTGCCCCAAGAACGAGGCCCCAGCCGAGCAGCTCGGGGCTGCCCCCCCAGCCGTCCCTCGGGGCGGCCAAATCAGCTCCCTGAGGGGCTTCGGCCGGGACCCCGGGCTGGGGCCTGGGGCGGGCAGGGAAAGGGGCGGGACCCCCCCGGCTCGCAGCCCCCCCGGGCTCGGGGCTCCCCCAGCCCTTGCTGGCGGCTCCCAGCCCCCGCTCCGTTCTCCAGCCCCCCCCGCCAGTCCCCCCAGCCCCCCCCGCCCCACTCCCCAACCCCGGGGCCGCCCGCAGCCCCCCCCCGCCCCGCTCCTCGGTCCCCCGAGGGGCTCTGAGCCTTTCCACAGCCCCACTCCCCGGCACCCCCGGGGCCCACCCCCCGCTCCCAGGCCCCCCGGGGGGCCGCAGCCACCCCCAAGGCACGGAGCCCCCCTCAGCCCCACTTAGGGGCTCCACAAGACCCTCCTACCCGTCCCGCTGCTTTGCTGACACTGCCAGTGGGCGGGCCCCGCCGCGCGCCGTGGCCCCGCCCCCTTTGCAGCCAATCATCGCGTGGCTCCACTGACCGCCCGCGCGAGGCACGTCGGGAGTTGTAGTCCCGGCCCCAGTGTGCACGCGTGCGCACAGCGCCTGCTGCGAGGGCAGCGGGCATGCAAAGAGCCGCGTGCGACAGGGATGCGCGTTCAGGGCCCTCGTGCAATAGTAATCTGAGGAAACATTAACCCAATAGCCCCCCCTCAGGGGCTGCTCACCAGGTGGCCTCCATCAAAGGCCGGCAACTCCCGTGTGAGTGAATGGAAGGAAGACAGGACGGGCCATCGCTGGTACCTCTTGTCCCTGAGATAAGAGGGGAACTGAAACCACTGAGCCAGAAATACAAAGGAGCTGCAAATTAGCCCAGACCTGAAGGACAAGGTGTACGTGACCACAGGACTGAGTTGGCGCAGAAGTAAGGGTCAGCTAGCGAACACAGTGAAGGAGACTACGGGCCTTCATCTGCAGACCCCTGCCCACGACCTCCAGGGAGCACTGCGCAGGTGTGACATGGAGGGACTTGGGGTGGGGGATATGTTAATGATTTCTCGGAACTGATTGTAATATTCCCTCCCTATTCCCAGAATTGTGATGCATGTGTATTGGAGTTAATGAATATGTAACGTTTTACACAATAAAAAGGAGCCTCTTTTGGCTCCAGGGCACGCACGTTTCTGGAGGAATGATTCCCCCCTGTGCCCAGTGCTGAATAAACATACCTACTTTATAACCTTACTGGTTGTAAAGTCATGATTCCGCTCGTCAATAGGCGCACGTGTGCAGGGTCCTCGTGCAGCGGGGTGGTTGTGCAGGCCCCCGTTGTGCTGCTCTGCCAGGCACAGAGTTATTCTATTCGGAAGCAAAACAGGCCGGTGTCTGATACTGCTGTTATAAATGAATGAAGCCAATCTTTATAAAAATATATAATTTCCTCATCCTCCTCCTCATCCACCTCCTCGTCCTCGTCCTCCTACTTATCCTCCCCCTCCTCGTCCCCCTCCTCGTCCTCATCCACCTCATCCTCCTCCTCCTCTTCCTCCTCCTCCTCCTCCTCCTTGTACTCCTCCTCGTCCTCCACCTCGTCCTCCTCCTCCTCCTCATCCTATTCTTCCTCATCTTCCTCGTCCTCCTCCTTGTCTTCCTTCTCGTTCTCGTCCTCCTTGTCCACCTCCTCATCCTCCTTGTCCTCGTCCTCCTCCTCGTCCTCATCCCCCTCCTCCTCCTTCATCTTCCTTGTCATCCTCATCCTCCTCCTCCTCGTCCTCCTCCTCCTTGTCGTCCTCCTCATCCTGTCCTGGGTTGAGTGAGTGGTGGAGTTTTTTGGTGGCAGGGGAGGGGGCTATCGGGGCAGCCCCCTGTGAGAAGCTTCTCAAAGCTCCCCCAGCTCCACGTCAGCTCCACTTCTGTTTGGGAAATTGAGCCAATCAGCTGCGCCTCTGCAATAACGTATTTAAGAAGGGACGTGGTGACGTGCTGTGGGACTTGTGAGGAGGAGTCGCTGCAGCTACATGAACACCAAGGTCAGTGGAGGAACGGAGGAAGAAAGGAGGGGGGAGGTGTGCCGGAGCAGAGAACCCTCCTGTATCCTGTGGTGAGACGGCAGGGCGGCCCCCCCCTGCCACCCATGAAGATCTACGGTGGAGCAGGCATTGATTTGTGGCCTGTCGTTCCTGCTCGGATGATCAAGGTTCTGTGCCCGAAGAAGGCCGGGGTCTCATGGAAAAAGGTAGCCCCGCTGCTGTAATTCAGTGCTGGGAGGATTGCAGCATGCGGGGGAGTCCCACGCCGGAGCAGCTCGGGAAGGGCTGCAGCCGTGTGAAAGAATCCAGTCGGAGGAAGTTAGTGACCCATGACGGAGCAGTGTGGGGAACGCTGCGGCCCATGGGAGGAATTCATGTCGGAGAAAGTTTGTGGAGGACTGTCTGCTGTGAGAGGGGGACCACGATGGAGCAGGGGGTAACAAGTTTTGGACACTCCCCTCACCGAACATGAAGGAAGTGGCAGCACTGACTGCACCCCCCATTCCCTGCCCCTGCACCACTGGGGGAGGAGGTAGAGATATCGGGAGCAGAGCTGAGCCCGGGAAGAAGGGAGGGGTGGGGGAAGGTGTTCTCAAGATGTGGCACTGCTTCTCACTGTCCTACTCTGTTATGTGTTGTTTGTGTCTGTAATAAATGTATGGATTTTTCCTTCCCCTAAGGAGTCTGCCTTTTGCTCGTGATCATAAAAGGGGGATTTTCACCGATCCCAGTCCTATCTTGAACCCCAAGCCTGGCTCTCTGTTCCTACTCATTGCCGGAGGGGAAGGGAGAGAGAGGTGCTGCATTGTGGTTGGCTGTCAATCAGGCCTAAACCATGACAAATCCTCATCCTCATCCTCCTCATCCTCCTCGTCACCGTCCTCATCCTCATCCTCCTCATCATCCTCGTCCTCCTCGTCCTCCTCTTCAGTCCTCCTATCTGTCCTCCTCCTCATCCTCCCCCTCCTCCTCGTCATCGTCCTCGTCCTCCTCCTCCTAATCGTTTTCCTCCTCCTCCTCGTTTTCCTCCTCATCGTTTTCCTCCTCATCATCCTCCTCCTTGTCCTCCTCCTCATCCTGGTCATCCTCCTCATCCTCTTCCTCCTCCTCCACCTCCTCATACTCCTCCTCGTCCTCCTCCTCGTCCTCGTCCTTGTCCTCCTCATCCTCGTCCTCGTCCTCCTACTTGTCCTCCTCCTCGTCCTCCTCCTTGTCCCCCTCCTTGTCCTCATCCTCCTAGTCCTCCTCCTCGTCCTGCTCCTCGTCCTCCTCGTCCTCGTCCTCCTACTTGTCCTCCTCCTCATCCTCCTCCTTGTCCCCCTCCTTGTCCTCATCCTCCTTGTCCTCCTCGTCCTCCTTGCCTTCCTCCTCAACTCCTCATATTCCAACTCGTCCTCCTCCTCCTCCTCCTCGTCCTCCTCCTACTCTTCGTCTTCCTCCTCCTCCTCCTCATCCTCCTCGTCCTCCTCCTCCTTCTCGTCCTCGTCCTCGTCCTCCTCCTCCTTGTCCTCCTTTTTCTCATCCTCCTCCTCGTCCTCGTCCCCCTCCTCCTCCTTCATCTTCCTCGTCATCAGTCATCCTCCTCCTCCACCTCCCCTTCCTTCTCCTCCTCCTCATCCTCCTCCTCCTCATTGTCATCCTCCTCATCCTCCTCATCCTCCCTGTCGTCCTCCTCGTCCTCCTCCTCGTCCTCTTTGTCCTCGTCTTCCTCCTCATCCTCATCCTCGTCCTCCACTTCCTCCTCATCCTCCTCGTCCTCCTCCTAGTCCTCCTCCTCCTCCTTGTCCTCCTCTTCCTCCTCATCCTCGTTCTCCTTGACCTCGTCCTCCTCCTTATCCTCCTCCTCCTCCTCCTCCTCGTCCTCCTCCTCGTCCTCCTCCTCCTCCTCCTCGTCCTTGTCCTCGTCATCCTCCTCATCCTCCTCCTCCTCCTCCTCCTCCTCCTCGTCCTCCTCCTACTCTTCGTCTTCCTCCTCCTCCTCCTCATCCTCCTCGTCCTCCTCCTCCTTCTCGTCCTCGTCCTCGTCCTCCTCCTCCTTGTCCTCCTTTTTCTCATCCTCCTCCTCGTCCTCGTCCCCCTCCTCCTCCTTCATCTTCCTCGTCATCGTCATCCTCCTCCTCCACCTCCCCTTCCTTCTCCTCCTCCTCATCCTCCTCCTCCTCGTCATCCTCCTCATCCTCCTCATCCTCCCTGTCGTCCTCCTCGTCCTCCTCCTCGTCCTCTTTGTCCTCGTCTTCCTCCTCATCCTCATCCTCGTCCTCCACTTCCTCCTCATCCTCCTCGTCCTCCTCCTAGTCCTCCTCCTCCTCCTTGTCCTCCTCTTCCTCCTCATCCTCGTTCTCCTTGACCTCGTCCTCCTCCTTATCCTCCTCATCCTCCTCGTCCTCCTCCTCGTCCTCCTCCTCCTCGTCCTCGTCCTCGTCATCCTCCTCATCCTCCTCCTCCTCCTCCTCATCCTCCTCCTAGTCCTCCTCGTCCTGCTCGTTCTCCTCGTACTCCTCATTCTACTCATCCTCATCCTCCTCCTTGTCCACCTCCTTTTCCTCATCCTCCTTGACCTCCTCCTCCTCATCCTCGTCCCCCTCCTCCTCCTCCTCTTCCTCGTCGTTCTCCTCCTCATCGTTGTCCTCCTCCTATTCGTTGTCCTACTCCTCCTCATCGTCCTCCTCGTCCTCCTCCTCATCCTCGTTATCCTCCTCATCGTTTTCCTCCTCTTCCCCTCCTCCTCCTCGTCCTCTTCCTCGTCCTTGTTATCCTCCTCATTGATTTCCTCCTCCTCGTACTCCAACTCCTCGTCATCATCATCATCCTGCTCCTCCTCCTCCTCCTCCTCCTCATCCTCCTCCTAGTCCTCCTCGTCCTCCTCGTTCTCCTCCTCGTCCTCCTCCTCAACCTCGTCCTTGTCCTCCGCCTTTTCATCATCCTCCTCGAACCTCCTCCTCCTCCTTCTCCTCCGCGTCCCCATCCTCCTCATCCTCGTCCTCCTCATCCTCCTTGTCCGCGTCCCCCTCCTCCTCCTCCTCTTCCTCATCATCCGCCTCCTCCTCGTCCTCCTCATCATCATCCTCCTCGTTGTCCTCCTCCTCCTCGTCGTCCTCCTCCTCCTCATCCTCCTCATCATCATCGTCCTCATCCTCCTCATCCTCGTTTTCCTCCTCCTAGTTTTCCTCCTCCTCCTCCTCCTCCTCGTCCTCCTCCTCGTCCTTGTTATCCTCCTCATCGTTTTCCTCCTCCTCCTCCTCCTCCTCCTCCTCCTACTCCCCATCCTCCTCGTCATCCTCCTCCTCCTCCTAATCGTTGTCCTCCTCCTCCTCGTTTTCCTCCTCCTCCTCCTCGTCCTCCTCCTCGTCCTCGTTATCCTCCTCATCGTTTTCCTCGTCCTCCTCCAACTCCTCGTCCTCCTCCTTGTCCTCATTATCCTCCTCATCGATTTCCTCCTCCTCCTCGTCGTCTTCCTCCTCATCCTGGTCATCCTCCTCATCCTCGTCCTCGTCCGCCTCCTCCTCCACCACATCCTCATTTTCCTCCTCCTTCTCCTCGTCCTCCTTATTCTCCTCCTCCTCATCCTCATCCTCCTCCTCATCCTCCATCTCGTCCTCCTCCTTGTCCTCCTCCTTTTCCTCATCCTCCTCGTCCTCCTCGTCCTCGTCCCCCTCCTCCTCCTCCTCTTCCTCGTCATGATCCTCCTCCTCGTCCTCCTCATCATCCTCCTCCTCGTTGTCCTTCTCCTCCTCGTCGTCCTCCTCCTCTTTGTCGTCCTCCTCCTCCTCCTCCTCGTTCTACACATCCTTGTGCTTGTCCTCCTCATCCTCCTCATCCTCCACCTCATCCTCCCCATCCTTGTCGTCCTCCTCATCCTCATCCTCGTCCTCCTCATCCTCCTCACCCTCATCCTCGTCGTCCTCCTCCACCTCCTCCCCCTCGTCCTCCTCCTCATCCTCATTGTCCTCGTCCTCCTCCTCGTCCTCGTCCCCCTCCTCCTCCTTCATCTTCCTCGTCCTCCTCGTACTCCTCCTCTTCCTCCTCCTCGTCCTCGTCCTCCTCCTCCTCCTCATATTTCTCGTCCTCCTCCTCCTCCTCTTCCTCGTCATCCTCATCCTCCTCCTCCTCGTCCTCCTCATCCTCCCTGTTGTCCTCCTCATCCTCCTTGTCGTACTCATCGTCTTCCTCCTCGTCCTCCTTTTCCTCATCCTCCTCCTCATCCTCGTCCTCCTCCTCCTCATCCTCCTCATCCTCCTCCTTGTCCTCCTCCTCCTTGTCATCCTCTTCATCCTCCTCCTCATCATCCTTCTCGTACTCCTCCTCGTCCTCCTCCTCCTTGTCATACTCTTCGTCCTCCTCCTCGTCCTCCTCCTCGTCCTCCTTGTCCTCATCCTCGTCCTCCTCATCCTCAACCACCTCCTCGTCATCGTCCTAATCCTCATCCTCCTCATCCTCCTCCTCATCCTCCTTGTCCTCATCCTCATCCTCGTCTTCCTCCTCGACCTCCTCCACCTCCTTCTCCTCCTCCTTATCCTGGTCTTCCTCCTCGTCCTCATCCTCCTCCTCATCCTCCTCATCATCATCGTCCCCATCCTCCTCGTCCTTGTTATCCCCCTCATCGTTTTCCTCCTCCTCCTCCTCATCCTACTCCTCGTCCTCGTTATCCTCCTCATCGATTTCCTCCTCCTCCTCCTCATTTTCTTCCTCCTTCTCCTCCCCATCGTCCTAGTCATCGTCCTCGTCCTCCTCCTCCTAATTGTTGTCCTCCTCCTCCTCGATTTCCTCGTCTTCCTCCAACTCCTCGTCCTCCTCCTTGTCCTTATTATCCTCCTCATCTATTTCCTCCTCCTCCTCCTCCTCCTCGTCTTCCTACTCATCCTCGTCATCCTCCTCATCCTCGTCCTCGTCCGCCTCCTCCTCCTCCACATCCTCCTTCTCCTCCTCCTTCTCCTCATCCTCCTCATTCCTCCTCCTCCTCATCCTCCTCGTCCTCCTCCTCATCCTCGTCCTCCTACTCATCCTCATCCTCGTCCTCCTCCTTTTCCTCCTCCTTTTCCTCATCCTCCTCGTCATCCTCGTACTCGTCCCCCTCCTCCTCCTCCTCTTCCTCGTCATGATCCTCCTCCTCGTCCTCCTCATCATCCTCCTCCTCGTTGTCCTCCTCCTCCTCGTTGTCCTCCTCCTCTTTGTCGTCCTCCTCCTCCTCCTCGTTCTACACATCCTCGTGCTCGTCCTCCTCCTCCTCATCCTCCTCGTCCTCCTCCTCATCCTCCTCCTCCTTGTCGTCCTCCTCATCCTCATCCTCGTCCTCGTCATCCTCCTCATCCTCATCCTCGTCCTCCTCCTCATCCTCCTCGTCATCGTCCTCATCCTCGTCCTCCTCATCATCCTCATCCTCGTCCTCCTCGTCCTCCTCATCATCCTCCTCCTCGTCCTCCTTGTCCTCATCGTCCTACTCATCCTCGTGCTCGTCCTCCTCCTCCTCATCCTCCTCCTCCTCATTCTCCTCCTCCTCCTCCTCGTCCTCCTCCTCTTCCTCGTTGTCCTCCTCTTCCTCGTTGTCCTCCTCGTCCTCCTCCTCTTCCTCGTTGTTCTCCTCCTCCTCGTCCTCCTCCTCCTATTCGTTTCCCTCCTCCTCCTCGTCCTCCTCGTCCTCGTCCTTCTCCTCGACCTCCTCCTCATCCTTGTCCTGCTCCTCCTAGTCCTCATCCTCCTCCTCGTCATCTTCCTCCTCCGTGTCCTCATCCTCCTCCTCCTCATATTCCTCGTCCTCCTCCTCTTCCTCCTCATCTTCGTCCTCCTCCTCGTCCTCCTCGTCCTCCTCCTCATCCTCCTCCTCATTTTCCTCCTCCTCCTCCTACCCATCCTACTCGTTATCGTCCTCGTCCTCCTCCTCCTAATCGTTGTCCTCCTCCTCCTCGTTTTCCTCCTCCTCCTCCTTGTCCTCGTTATCCTCCTCATCGTTTTCCTCCTCCTCGCCTCATACTCCTCCTCATCCTTGTCATCCTCCTCATACTCATCCTTGTCCTCCTCCTCCTCCTCCTCATTCTCCTCCTAGTCCTCCTCGTTCTCCTCCTCCTCGTCCTCCTCCTTTTCCTCATTCTCCTCGTCCTGCTCCTCCTCCTCGTCCTCGTCCCCCTCCTCCTCCTCCTCTTCCTCGTCATGATCCTCCTCCTCGTCGTCCTCGTCATCCTCCTCCTCTTTGTTGTCGTCATCCTCCTCCTCGTCCTACACATCCTCGTGCTCGTCCTCCTCCTGCTCATCCTCCTCGTCCTTCTCATTCTCCTCCTCCTTGTCGTCCTCCTAATCCTCATCCTCGTCCTCCTCCTCCTCATCATCTTCCTCGTCATCGTCCTCATCGTCATCCTCCTCATCATCCTCGTCCTCCTCGTCCTCCTCCTCATCCTCCTATTTGTCCTCCTCCTCGTCCTCCTCCTCATCCTCTTCCTCGTCATCCTCATCCCCCCCTCCTTGTCATCGTCATCTTCCTCCTCCTCCTAATTGTTGTCCTCCTCCTCCTCGTTTTCCTCCTCCTCGTTTTCCTCATCATCATCCTCCTCCTCGTCCTTCTCCTTGTCCTCGTTACCCTCCTCATCGTTTTCCTCCTCCTCCTCCAACTCCTTGTCCTCCTCCTCATCCTGGTCATCCTCCTCATCCTCGTCCTCGTCCTCTTCCTCCTCCTCCTTATTCTCCTCCTAGTCCTCGTCCTCCTCCTCGTCCTGCTCCTCGTCCTCCTTGTCCTTGAACTCCTCTTCTTCCTCCTCCTCGTACTCCTCCTCCTCGTCCTCCTCCTCCTCCTCGTCCTCGTCTTCCTCCTCGTCCACGTCCTTGTCCCCCTCCTTGTCCTCATCCTCCTTGTCCTCCTCGTCCTCCTTGCCTTCCTGCTCCTCCTCCTCGTCTTCCAACTCGTCCTCCTCCTCCTTCTCGTCCTCGTCCTCGTCCTCCTCCTCCTTGTTCTCGTCCTCCTCCTCATCCTCGTCCCCCTCCTCCTCCTTCATCTTCCTCGTCATCGTCATCCTCCTCCTACTCCTTCTCCTCCTCCTCATCCTCCTCTTCATCGTTGTCGTCCTCCTCATGCTCCTCGTCCTACTTGTTGTCCTCCTCATCCTCCTCCTCGTCCTCCTCCTTGTCCTCCGCCTCCTCCTCCTTGTCCTCCGCTTCCTCCTCCTCCTCGTTCTCCTTGACGTCCTCCTCCTCCTCCTCGTTCTCCTTTACGTCCTCCTCCTCCTCGTCCTCCGCCTCCTCATCCTCATCCTCCTCCTAGTCCTCCGCGTCCTCCTCGTTCTCTTCGTCCTCCTCCTCCTCCTCGTCCTCCTCCTCGTCCTCGTCCTCGTCCTCCTCCTTGTCCTCCTCCTTTTCCTCATCCTCCTTCACCTCATCCTCCTCCTTCTCCTCCTCGTCCCCATGCTACTCATCCTCGTCGCCCTCCTCCTCATCCTCATTCTCATCCACCTCCTCCTCCTCATCCTCATCCTCGTCCCCCTCCTCCTCCTCTTCCTCGTCATCATCCTCCTCCTCGTCATCCTCCTCCTCCTCGTTCTCCTCCTCCTCCTCCTTGTCCTCCACCTCCTCGTCCTCATCCTCGTCCTCGTTTTCCTCCTCATCGTTTTCCTCCTCCTCCTCCTCCTCCTCGTCCTCGTCCTCTTCTTTGTCCTCGTTATCCTCCTCATTGATTTCCTCCTCCTCGTACTCCTCCTCATCCTCGTCATCCTCCTCATCCTGCTCCTCCTCCTCCTCATCCTCATCCTCCTCCTAGTCCTCCTCGTCCTCCTTGTCCTCCTCCTCCTCCTCAAACTCGTCCTTTTCCTCCTCCTTTTCCTCATCCTCCTCGACCTCCTCCTCCTCCTTCTCCTCCTCGTCCCCATCCTCCTCATCCTCGTCCTCCTCATCCTCCTCGTCCGCGTCCCCCTCCTCCTCCTCCTCTTCCCCATCATCCGCCTCCTCCTCGTCCTCCTCATCATCCTCCTCCTCATTTTCCTCCTCCTCCTCCTCGTCCTCCTCCTCCTTGTAGTCCTCCTCCTACTCCTCCTCCTCGTCCTCCTCCTCGTCCTCTTCCTCCTCCTCGTCCTCGTCGTCCTCCTCCTCCTCATATTTCTCGTCCTCGTCCTCCTCCTCGTCCTCGTCCCCCTCATCCTCTTCCTCATCATCCTCAACCTCTTCCTCCTTGTATCCTCATCCTCCTCCTCCTCGTTGTTCTCCTCCTCCTCGTACTCCTCATCTTCCCTGTTGTCCTCCTCCTCCTCCTTGTCGTCCTCCTCATCCTCCTCCTCGTCCTCCTCCCCCTTGTCATCCTCTTCTTCCTCCTCCTCATCCTCCTCCTCGTCATCGTCCTCATCCTTGTCCTCCTCCTCCTCCTCCTCCTCCTCGTCCTCCTCCTCCTTGTCATCCTCTTCGTCCTCCTCCTCATCCTCCTCCTCGTCCTCCTTGTCCTCGTCCACCTCCTCATCCTCAGCCTCGCCCTCCTCCTCCTCATCATCCTCCTCGTCCTCGTCCTCCTTGTCCTCATCCTCATCCTCGTCTTCCTCCTCCACCTCCTCCTCCTCCTCATTTTCCTCCTCCTCCTTCTCCTCCTTCTCATCCTGGTCTTCCTCCTCGTCCTCATCCTCCTCCTCCTCCTCATCATCATCATCATCGTCCGCGTCCTCCTCATCCTCGTTTTCCTCCTCATCCTCCTCCTCGTCGTCCTCCTCGTCGTCCTTGTTATCCTCCTCGTTTTCCTCCTCCTCCTCCTCATCCTCCTCCTCGTCCTCGTTATCCTCCTCATCGATTTCCTCCTCATCCTCCTCATCCTCCTCCTCCCTCCTCATTTTCCTCCTCCTCCTCCTCCCCATCCTCCTCGTTATCGTCCTCATCCTCCTCCTCATAATCCTTGTCCTCCTCCTCCTCGTTTTCCTCCTCCTCCTCCTCGTCCTCGTTATCCTCCTCATCGTTTTCCTCCTCCTCTTCCAACTCCTCGTCCTCCTCCTTGTCCTCGTTATCCTCCTCATCGATTTCCTCATCATCATCCTGGTCATCCTCCTCATCCTCGTCCTCGTCCGCCTCCTCCTCCTCCACATCCTCATTCTCCTCACCATTCTCCTCGTCCTCCTCATTCTCCTCGTCGTCGTCGTCGTCCTCCTCCTCCTCCTCCTCGTCCAACTCTTCATCGTCTTCCTCGTCCTCCTCCTTGTCCTCCTCCTTTTCCTCATCCTCCTCGTCCTCCTCCTCCTCCTCGTCTTCATCCCCCTCCTCCTCCTCCTCTTCCTCGTCATGATCCTCCTCCTTATCCTCCTCATCATCCTCCTCCTCGTTGTCCTCCTCCTCGTCATCCTCCTCCTCTTTGTTGTCGTCATCCTCCTCCTCGTCCTACACATCCTCGTGCTCGTCCTCCTCCTCCTCATCCTCCTCGTCCTCCTCCTCATCCTCCTCCTCCTTGTCATCCTCCTCATCCTCATCCTCGTCCTCCTCCTCCTCCTCATCCTCCTTGTCATCGTCCTCATCCTCGTCCTCCTCATCATCCTCATCCTCGTCCTCCTCGTCCTCCTATTTGTCCTCCTCCTCCTCATCCTCCTCGTCCTCTTTGTCATGCTCCACCTGTTCCTCGTCCTCCTCATCCTCCTTGTCTTCCTCCTTATCGTCCTCCTCGTCCCCCTCCTCGTCCTCATACTCATCGTCGTACTCCTCGTCCTCCTCCTCGTCCTCTTCCTCGTCCTCCTCGTCCTCCTCCTTGTCCTCCTATTTGTCCTCCTCCTCGTCTTCCTCCTCGTCCTCCCCCTCGTCCTTCTCATCCTCCTTGTCCTCGTCGTCCTCCTCCTCCTCCTCCTCCTCCTCGTCCTAGTCCTCCACCTTGTCCTCCTCCTCGTCCTCCTCCTCATCCTCCTTGTCCTCGTCCTCCTCCTCCTCCTTGTCCTGCTCGTCTTCCTCCTCGTCCTCCTATTTGTCCTCCTCCTCGTCCTCCTCCTCCTCCTCCCCCTCCTCCTCGTCATCGTCCTCGTCAACCTCCTCCTAATCGTCATCCTCCTCCTCCTCGTTGTCCTCCTCCTCCTCGTTGTCCTCCTCCTCCTCATTATCCTCCTCCTCCTCGTCGTCCTCCTCCTCGTCCTCTTCTTCGTCCTCGTTATCCTCCTCATCGATTTCCTCCTCCTCGTACTCCTCCTCGTCCTCGTCATCCTCCTCATCCTGCTCCTCCTCTTCCTCATCCTCCTCCTCCTAGTCCTCCTCATTCTCCTCGTTCTCCTTGTCCTCCTCCTCCTCCTTGTCCTTGTCCTCCTCCTTTTCCTCATCCTCCTCGACCTCCTCCTCCTCCTTCTCCTCCTCGTCCCCATCCTCCTCATCCTCGTCCTCCTCATCCTCCTCGACCTCATACCCATCCTCCTCCTCCTCTTCCTCATCATCTGCCTCCTCCTCATCCTCCTCATCATCCTCCTCCTCGTTGTCCTCCTCCTCCTCATTATCCTCCTCCTCCTCGTCGTCCTCCTCCTGTCATCGTCGTCCTCCTCCTCCTCGTCCTCCTCCTGTCATCGTCGTCCTCCTCCTCCTCGTCCTCCTCGTCCTCGTCCTCCTCCTCCTCCTCCTCGTCCTCCTTGTCCTCGTCCACCTCCTCATCCTCAGCCTCGCCCTCCTCCTCATCATCATCCTTGTCATCATCCTCATCCTCGTCCTCCTCATCCTCATCCTCCTCCTCATCATCGTCCTCCTCCTCGTCCTCGTCCTCCTTGTCCCCATCCTCGTCTTCCTTCTGCACCTCCTCCTCCTCCTCCTCATTTTCCTCCTCCTCCACCTCTTCCTCCTCCTCCTCATCCTGGTCTTCCTCCTCGTCCTCATCCTCCTCGTCCTCATCATCATCGTCCTCGTCCTCCTCATCCTCGTTTTCCTCCTCCTCGTTTTCCTCCTCATCCTCCTCCCCCTCATCCTCCTCCTCATCCTCGTTATCCTCCTCATCAATGGCCTCCTCCTCCTCCTCCTCCTCATCCTCGTCATCCTCCTCATCCTCGTCCTCGTCCTCCTCCTCCTCATTTTCCTCCTTCTCCTCATCCTCGTCCTCCTATTTGTCCTCCTCCTCCTCCTCCTCCTCCTCGTCCTCGTCCTCCTCCTCCTCCTCATTTTCCTCCTTCTCCTCATCCTCGTCCTCCTATTTGTCCTCCTCCTCATCCTCCTTCTCATCCTCCTCCTTGTCCTCCTCCTTTTCCTCATCCTCCTCCACCTCCTCCTCCTCCTTCTCCTCGTCCTTGTCCTCCTCCTCGTCTTCCTCCTCCTCCTCCTCCTCTTCCTCATCCTCCTCCTCCTCGTTGTCCTCCTTCTCCTCGTCGTCCTCCTCCTCCTTGTCGTCCTCCTCCTCATCCTCCTTGTCCTCATCCTCCTCCTCATCCTCGTGCTCGTCATCCTCCTCATCATCATCCTCCTACTCCTCCTCCTCCTCCTCGTTTTCCTCCTCCTCCTCGTTTTCCTCCTCCTCCTCGTTTTCCTCCTCCTCCTCCTCTTCCTCGTTGCCATCCTCCTCCTCGTCCTCCTCCTCCTCCTCCTAGTCCTCCTTGTCCTCTTCGTTCTCCTCGTCCTCCTCCTTGTCCTCCTCCTTTTCCTCATCCTCCTCCACCTCCTCCTCCTCCTTCTCCTCCTCATCCCCATCCTCCTCATCCTCATCCTGCTTCTCGTCCTCGTCACCCTCCTCCTCCTCCTATTCCTCATCATCCTCCTCCTCCTCGTTCTCCTCATCCTCCTCCTCCTTGTCGTCCTCCTCCTCCTTATCATCCTCCTCCTCCTCCTCCTCTTCCTCCTACTCGTCCTCCTTCTCCTCGTCCTCCCCCTCATCCTCGTGCTCGTCCTCCTCATCCTCCTCCTCCTCATCATCATCATCCTCCTCCTCCTTCTCCTTGTTTTCCTCCTCCTCCTCTTCCTCGTCCGCCTCCTCGTCCTCATCCTCCTCGTCCTTCTCGTCCTCCTCCTCGTCCTCCTCCTCGTCCTCCACCTCATCCCCCTCCTCCTCGTCCTCATACTCCTCCTCCTCGTCCTCCTTGTCCTCGTCCTCCTCCTCAACCTCGTCTCCCTCCTCCTCCTTCATCTTCCTTGTCATCCTCCTCCTCCTCCTCCTCCTCCTCCTCATCCTCCTGTTCCTCGTTGTCCTCCTCCTCCTCATCCTTCTCGTCCTCTTTGTCATACTCCTCCTCCTCCTTGTCGTCCTCCTCGTCCTCCTTGTCCTCGTCCTCCTCCTCATCCTTGTCCTCGTCCTCCTTCTCCTTTTCGTCCTCCTCATCATCATCCTCATCCTCCTCCTCATCCTCATCCTCCTCCTCCTCGTCCTCCTCCTCGTCCTCCTCGTCCTCCTCCTCATTCTCGTCTTTATCCTTGTCCTTGTCCTCGTCCTCCTCCTCGTCGTCCTCCTCCTCCTCGTCCTCCTCCTCATCTGAACAGAGAAATATAATAGTAGAAAGAGCACTGCTAATAAAACAACTTTTACAAGTTCTAAGAAGAGAACATGGACCCAAACAGATGTAGAAGACTGAGACTCATGACCCCTCGGTGGACGGACACCTCCACCGCCATCTGCTTCCTCCCAGGACTGAGCGAGTCTCCTCCTTTTATATGCTTTCTGAGTCTAGATTGTGATTGTTATATTGATACGGCAAACCATGTATTAAGATTTGACCTGATCTGCCGAGGGTCCAGTTGATTAGGAATCATAAGTTCAGTTAGGATCCTCTTGATAGTTGTATTATAAATTCTGTATCACGCTACTTATCAGTTGTACTACATTGATTCTGCTTGTAGAAATCCCATGCTGTTCTAAGCGTAAATTCTGTGCTATAACTAATCATAGTATCTTGTTGAGAAAATAAAACTCATAACTGCAATTTAGTGTCATTAGCATTCTACCAAGTATCCCTAAAGGAACCTGTCTGTCCACTTAGTGCCAGGGGACACACTCGCACACAGTTCTCCACCACGTGTCACAGGCAGAAGTTGT